CGACAATGTTACACAAGTGTTACGACGACGTCGTGACAAAGTCGTGACAACGTCGCGTCCTTTTGCGAGCATATCCGGGCAGCCGTTTGGAAAATATATCACCGCCACGTCACGTTGACAATCTGCCACGTCATCTCGACGACAAAGTCGCTCGTTCTTCCAGAAGCGGTGTGTCATACTAGTAGCGCTGAACGAGACCTTAAGGTTCGCGCGTTGGGTCCCCAAGTGGCGAGCAGCATCAACAAGCCGCAGCCAATCCATCGATGCCGACCTTTTGTATGGCTGGCGTGTCGACCCGAAATCGAAACTTTTGCAACCTTCTCAAATCGCTGTGATATTATTTTCCGGGGCGCTATTTCTCGCTCGAGAGGCTGTATGCCAACGCGCGTGGCTATCAAGTACTCGTTTTGAAACTCGCACGACCGGGTGAGCTCGCCGCGGAGGTATACGGTGAACGGCCGGGGAATGTGGACCATGGGCACTTGGTCCGGTAGTTCCTACATCGATCCAAGTATGGTGCTGGACGATAGAGATATTGTCGATCGTACTTGCAACGTGACTTTTTGACACAGAGGAGGCGCCCGTTGGTCGTGTTGACGCACGAGCGGGTTGAAATCGCGCGACTTGATCTCTTGGTAGACTTCAAACGAGCACACTTCGCACGTGTACGTCGCGACGATGACGAGTGGCTTGACGTTCGAGACACGCGCCACCGTGCCCTTGATGCGCACGAAGCTGCCCACTTTCGACGCCTTCACCTCGCGGATCGGGACCGGCTTGGTCTTGACGCCGGGCACAAGTCTATATATACATGCAATTAACATGCGAAAATCAAGAAGCAAGAACGTACTGGAGCTCAAAGCGGCGCATGAGTGTCGGCGGAAAGACGGTCGCAAGGTCGACGGGCGCGTCGTTCTCGGTCGCCGCCTCTTGCACGCGGTGGAGGCGGAGGACGTCGTCGACCGCATCCGAGAAGAGCGAGACGTGCGTGTTGCGCATGACGTTGCGCACAAAGTCCTCATCGTTCTCAAACTACATGTTTGGTGTCGTAAGCAACGGCGATCCAAGGTCGCATGTACCGAGAGGACGTCGTCGAGCGCGATCGTGATGGTCGTGCGCTGGCGGTCAGCGACCTCTTGCTATCGCACGCGTGAGCGCATGGGACCGAGAATGCACCTTGTACGTACGAGCATGTCTTCGTACTTGCGCGCGCCCGAGAGCGAGTCGACATGGTTGCGCAGAAAGTGGAGCCATTTCTCTGCGGCGACCATGAGACCATTATGCTGCTGCGATATGGTGGCATGTACCTTTTTCTTCCAGGTAGTTGGGAAAGCCGGCCATGGCCATCCCGCCGGTGCCAGTGCTGCAGCTGTCCGCGCCGAGCGCAGACGTTGGCCGACGGCGATGGCATGACATGCTGCGGGCCGCTTCCCGGACGGGGAACGTGCTGCGCGTTGCGGGCGAAGCCGGGCACGTTGCTGTACGAGGCATCGAGGTCCACTTGCGTGTGGTCCAAAATATGGTCGCCTGTTGCCGCCAAAATATCCGGACGCGTATCCGGCGCAGCGACTTCAATCTTCGCATGGATTTGCACCAATCGGAATCGAGCTGGCTGCTCCCAGATAGACGGCGGCAATTGACGATGAACTTCCTCACCGCGATCAAGAAGCCCGAGCACTTCGACAGCTGGCTCTTTGGCGACGATGTCGCGGACCCGCGCCCGCCATTGGCGCCGACAGCGAACCGGTCGACGCCTGCGTCGCCGATGGCCGACGACCATAGGCCATCGTCCGCCAGCACCAAGCTCGCGCAGGCCGCGACGGCGATCCAGGACAAGTACAAGAAGTTGGCCAAGAACAACATGAACGACAAGACGATCTCTAGCAGCTATCCGATGCCACTGAGCAAGAAGTTTCGCAAGTACCTTCGCGACAAGCAGCGCGCCGCCATGGACGAAAAGCAGCGCCGGCTCTTGCAGCTCTCGGAAGTCAGCCGCCTCCGCGCGCACGCGCTGTTCTCGCTGCACGAGATTGACCCAAAGAAGCTGCCGCGCCTTCTCGATTTCTTGGCCAAGACGACTGACGACGGCAACTACCACCACGTCCTTCTCTTCGTCCTAGGCTCGAGGAAGAGCGCGACGCGGCGCGCCGTCGCTCCTCAAGCTCTTCAACAAGTACTTTACGACCGCGTCCGAGTGCAGCATCTCGGCGACGCTCGAGCTCGAAGAGATGGTGCTGGTGAGCGTCCAGACCGACGACATTGGCTGGGTCGGGTTTCGCCCGATCCAGCACCTCGCGTTCAAGCGGCTCACGCGCGAAGAGCTGCCGCGGATCCTCAAAAGCACCGAGTACCTCGACATGCTGCAGGTCTCGGAGCACACGGCCGCCTTTGTGCCCCTCGATCGGTTCCTTGCCAACCCGCGCGGCGCACTACTTTCTCCTCTTCCTCATGCAGAATCGCCAGCATTTCGAGCTCTACTTTGGCTCGACGTCGAGTACGTTCTGAAAACATGCACGTCGGATGCGACGTCTTTTGGACGCTCACACACGACTTGCGCAAGAAGGCCAGTGTCGCTCCTTTAACCCACCCCTCAGCTCCTTCTTGGGCGGCGGCCTCCCAACACGAACCTCGTTCGTCTTCCCATGCATGCGTTTGTAGCCTCAGGAGACGATACAGCGTAATTAGTCGCGATCTTCTTGGCAATCATATCGACACCGTCGACCGTAGAGGGCAGAATGCCCAGGTGGAGCTTGCCTACCAACTCGGCGTGGAGAGCATCAAATGCAGCTGGTGCGCTCTCGCCAAAGTCGTTTCCCCATTCCAAGAGCTTCTTGAGACCGCTGCACACGTGCGCCGGACGCGCGATCTTTGATCGAGTGGGACCCTGAGAGAGCGTCTTGGACGCGCTGAGCACGGTTTCGAGCAATGTTTGATCTTCGCCTGTCATGCAGTCGGCCGTCAGGTCGAGCTCGATAATGCGCGCGACCCGCTTCATAGTAGCAGCCAGGGCTTTCAAAGCCGCCGCCAGACGCCCTTCTCACTGATTGGCAAATAAACCACGGCAAGCGGGTGGTGATTGGCACATTTTGAATAAATCGGTCGCGGCTAAAGACCAACTGCTACAACCATGAATGACAACTCTCTCGTACGCTGAAGCTCATGGCTCACGTCCTTGACGTGTGCCGGCCCCGATGTAGCCAGCTTGTTGCGGTGAACTCATGCGAGCAATGTCATGTTATACATCGGTACTGAAGTCGGGCGCAACTGGGTTGCGTGGAATTAGTCTAGTCGTTTCGTTAGTCGAACGCAGTTGTGAAACGACCCATTTGCTTTTCACGTTGCAAGCCGCGGACCTCAAGAGCATGGCGTACGTCTTGCGCTGTCTCGTCCACGTGTGCCCAGGGATCATGTCCTAGGACTGCCTATGACAGCAGCTCGACGTGGGAATCACCCCCGCTCGTGCTTCGGCGCACCTCGGAGTCTGCACCGAGCATCTCGGCAGCGGACGAGCGCATCAATCTCGACGAAGCCGACTTGCCTCTTCCACCTCCAACCGTAGCGACTGCTCGCGATGATCGCGTCGAAGCTCTTCTTTCGATGCTTATCAAGCGTGTCGAGGAAGTGCAAGAAGAGCTCCATGACAACGCGATCGCAATCCAACGCCTTGAAGAGCGGGTCATCAGCAGCACGATCGCAATCGACGACTTCGCGATCCAAGTCGCCAACGTGGTCAAGGTGCACAACGCGAACGGCCAGTTTGCCGCCAAGGCCAACATCCAGAACCAGCACGGCCTCGAGATCACGCCGATTTGCACCCAAAAGCACACGGTGACGCCGCCCGAGCATCTCGTGCAGCTCGGCCAGATCAACACGGTCTGCGACGCCGCTGAGCGGCCGATCCACCAAAAAGCCCAAAAACTGAGCCAGGTTGAGCGCGACTGCGGCATCGGCCCCGAGACGAGCCACGGGTACCCTTCATAGGCCTACACGCTACGTCATTATCATCATAGACTCTTGCAGAAAGACGAGTCGCTGCATGCGGCCAAGCGCTCGCGTCATCTGTTCGCCACGACTCTTGTCGTCTTGGCGTGGGTTGTGGCCCTAGTGGCCTTTGTGTTTCTCCTCGTACGCCTCGACCATCTATATCTCCATCGCTGATTCTTCTTCCATGGAGTTAGGGCGAGTATACGACGTGTTTGCAGCATGCGACCCCCAAAGTCGCCATGGGTTTCATCCAGAGCGCACACGAAGCGATTCGTTCGCTTGTGCTGGATCCGTCTGTGCCACTGGGGTTTCTGAGCACGCTTCAGCTCGTCGGGTCGTGTTTTTTTTTGTTTTTGCTCCTCAACGCCGTCGCGCAGGTACCTCGATATGCTGTTGTACGGCGATTGAAACTATCGATGCCCAATATATATCCCTATACCTACCACGATATCACAAAAAGTAGGAAGCCCACAACGACCACGCGGTTCGTTCGCAGTCTTGTGTCATTGTCGATTTGTTGAACATTTATGACGTTAAGGATAGACGCACGCCTTGAAACACGCAGAGGACGGTGGGCACTCGACGTCCAAGATGATGATTGAATGCTGAGATTACTGGACATGGGACAGAGAGGCTAGACGTCTTAGCCGCAGATGGTCACGTTGCCTTGGATGGTCGGCTGTCCGTTGCCGCCCGCAACGCGATAGCACGAGGTTTGCGGGAAGAGCGCCATAAAGTTGGTCACGACCGAGAAAAGCAGCGCGACAAAGAAGGAAACAACGACGGCGGTGGCTGCGTGCGAGTTGGCGCCACCCGTGCGCTTGAGTTTTTGGACCGCCGCTTTTTGCGGCGGGAGCAACCCGAGAAAGAGCAACGACGCAAACTTGAAGCCGTACGAGATGATGAACGCGTAGGTCACTTGCCAGCGCACGTGGGTCGAGTCTTTTGCGAGATCGTTGTTGGAGAGGTCGAGGTACGAGTCAATGAGCTTGTAACACGCAGTGGAAAACGGTGTCGCGAGGTTGACGATCGTCGTGACGAGGCCAAAGACGACGCCTTCGTTGCCAATGTCGGCGATCTCGACCGCGCAGTAGCCCGAGACAATGAAGCGGATGCCGGCCGGGAGGCTGTATGCTAGCTGCGAGATCGTAAAGAAATACTCGTTCCGGACTACATTCCACGTTGTGACAAAGATGACGGCGGCGTCAATGACCAAGACACCGATGGTCGCGAGCGCGATCGAGACGCGCCAGTCCCAGTTGAGGCCGTACCGCCCACAAACGTAAATCGCCACCGACGTGAGCAGCGCATTCAACACCGCCGTGATGGACTTTGTGATCGGCTGGACGTTGGCCCAGAGACTCGGGATGATGAGCGTCACGGTCGTATCAAACGAGTAGAAGAAATTGCTCAAAAAACGAAACGCGCAGATTTGCCACATGACGCGCAGTCGCAACAAATTCCAAAGACTTTGGAGGTAGCTGCGAAAGTATGGCTTGACATCGCGGTCTTCGACAATGAGAAACATGCAGCACCACATGGCCAGCACGCACGGAAGAGCGAGCACGGCAAAGACGAGGTTTGGGCTCATCGACCAGTTGAAGCTACCGTCGTACTGCGGTCCGTTCATGCAAAAGCCAATGAGCAGGAGCGGGATCATGCTGCACGCATAGCGCACCGAGTAGATTGCCGACTGCAGTCGACCGCGGATCGCAATCGGCTCGCGCTGAGCGTACTGGACGACCATGGCGTCGGCGGCGACGTCGGCGAGCATGTAGCCAAAGCTGCCGAGGGTCGAGAGAAGGATCCAGTAGTTGCCTTGGTTGGGCGCGTCGACGTTGATCGACTTTTGCATGTCTTTGGACAAAACCGAGAGGTCGCCGCCGCGGACGCGCGCAATGATGCGCGGGTTCATGCCGGCGAGGGCAGAACCAATGTACGGGTCCGGGAACGGGTTGAGCGCCATGAGGACGACGCTCACGAGACACATGCTCCACCCGAGAAGCATATACGGCTTGCGCTTGTAGCCGCCGATGGGGAAGCAATCGGTGAGCATACCAAGAAAGACCTTGAACGACCAGCAGAGCGTGACGAGCACTTTGTATGACGACGCTTGAAAGCCCGAAAAGTTGAGGTACTTGACGTAGAGCGGGTAGAGGAGGCCGGGCAGGCAGCCATAGATGATGCCAACCGCCGCGTACTGCCCGAGGAGCCCGATGGCTTCGCGGCTCATGAGATCGAGCGCACCGCCTTCTCGCAGCGCGTCACCATCGTAGTACGGGTCGTCGTCGTCATAGAGGGCATCGTCGGCGATGAGCTTGGATGCATGGAGGTACGACTGCGTATCGAGGGCGGTGAGGTTGCTCGACTCTTTCGGGTACAAATCAGCCTCGTCAAAGAGCCAAATCTTGGCCGGTGCTGCCATCGCCGTTTGCAGCTGCGTTGTCTATGGCAAAATACCTTTACAGAGCGCCAGTGGAGTCGATACGAGGCGGATCATACCACCTATGTTCTTGGTATCGCAGCCGTACATTCGATCGCGACACGTGGTGGTGCCACGTGGTGTCGCTTGCTCTCCCAACCACCTAAACCGTTATCAACGCTTTCCCTTTTTTCTATTGAGGCACCCAACAAGTAGCACGGGTCCTATGTACAAGACCCATCGAGCAAGCGGGGTGCTGACCGTGGTCGGTCTTCGGTTGAAGCAATCGACTTGCTGTCTCAATTGATGACGACGTGCGGCATGACGAGGAGCGTCCCAGCTGCGTCTACACCGGGTTCGCCGCAAGAGGCAAGGACGCGAATGGAGGTGTTGAAGGTGATTGGGATGTAATGGCAACGTTGCCCTTCTCTAAACTCGCACAAGTAGCCAAGTTGTCACTGCTCCGAAGCGGAGCCCCCGAGACGCGCGGCTCGCGCGAGAGAGGCAGTGCAAGACCAGGGGCAATTTAGCGTAACATGTGACGTGTCCATATTTGATCCCAGGTCCTTTGAACGTTGGCTTTCTTGTTGCTATTTGCTTGCCTGGTGGTCTGGTCTTGGTCTGGGGTAATCATGTCATAGCTATTTTGCTAATACCGCGCATGTGAGCGATGTGAGGCAGCTGCTGGGTGTAGTCTGAGAATGAGATGCGTGCTTGCTTGTCAAGCCCGAGCCCCTTCTAGCATCTTCACAAGACCTCTTGAGCCCGTCGTACGCAGTCGTTGCACACAGCTTGCGTTTCGACGAGCGCTCGCAGAGGCGTGTGGGTTGATGGTTACGCGTTGTTACCTTGTGACGCACTCGTTTCTGGCACCGTACCAGACCAGATGATCTGGTCTGGTACGGTGCCACTACTCGTGCCGTACTCGCATGAAGTTCTCGCATCTTGACGGCATCAACCGCCGGTGCGTGAGCTCTCTGGCAGTCGTCCTCGCATCGTTTGACCTTGTGAAGAACACCAAGCGACACCGCGTTGTCGGTCGCTTCGACAAGAGAGCACCGTGTCAGCGCTCAGGTTGGCCACAACCATGACAACCACCACACTGCAGATTAGTGTTGACCGACACAGTTCTTAGCGTATTCGTAAGAGGCGCTGCTTATGCAAGCGGCGCATCGTCGTCGTACTCGTCGTCATCATCGTCAATCGCAATGACCTCGTGCGCGCCATTCGACACGGCGAGAGGTAGGAGCGAAATGGTTCGCGGCTGAAATGCCTCGGCCATCGACGACGCCCGCGTCGATGCGCGGGCCGACTGCCGCGTCGGTGCTTTCTTGGGCGACGACGGGCGCACGCGGCGGCGTGTGTCAAGCACCCCAAACACGTTCTTCGGGCGCGTCTTGTCGCGCACACGCCAGCTTTCATATGCGAGCGTCGCCATCTCGATCACGTCATCGGGCGAAATCGCGAGTTGCTGCGCGAGATGCTGGAACGCGAGCACCGAGTCCATGACGAGCTGGGATCGCTACACCAACGACGTTCGTCCAGTGTATCGTTGCAGCACATAGGTAGCTACCTCGGCTTCCATGGACGCTGGCGAGAGGCCGCGAAGCGAGAGCTCCGTGTGGAGGTGGATTGTGATGCAGTTTTGCACAAAAGCTTTCTAGATCGCGTTCGGATATTGGAAATCCGTCGGAAATGTCACCAGATGTGGTCGTACCGTGGGCTCATACGGCGTCGTGACGGGCACGGCGTGCTGGTTGGTCAGCGTCAGCGTCAAGTCGCACGCAAAAAGCGCGACGGTCAATAGCTGCGCGCTAAACTCAATGCCCTCGACCGTAAGAACGCGGCCCCACTGGTTCGCATGCAGCTGCTTGGCTTCAAGCGGCAAATGCGAGTTACCAAAATTGAGCACCAAGACGACGTCGCCAACGTGGAGCTTGCTCCGGAGGCTCGGCGAGACTGTGCGGAGCGTGCTATGGTGGCCACAGCAGCCGTGGTGTCCCACCAGCGCTGTAAAGGACGGGGACTTGGTCGAGTGACACGCCTTGTGCAGCGCGGTGGGGCATTGGTAGCAGTGGAGCGCGTCGGCTTGGGCAAGCCCCTGCTTCTTGCAGACGCTGCATGCGTGGCGCGGACACACAAATAGCGACGGGTCCTGGCCTTTGCTCATGCACCTATCGCACCATCAGGCAGCATAAGACGAGGCATTGATGCAGCGACGAACCGCTGGTGGGCGTAGACGCCGCAGCCGGAGATCGAGCACTTGAACGAGTCCATGTCGTCGTCGCCGACCATGTCGCACTTGAAGCACATGTGGATGCCCCGGAAACACTCGGCGCACTTCCAGCTCCGGCGCTGGGCGACGTACGGGCGGTGGACGAGCGACGCGCTCTCGCCAATGCACGCAATGTGGAACGACCGCGTGCATGAGCCCGAGCATGAGAGAAGCTGACGGCCGCCTTGGCCGCATAGAAAGCAGAGCGGCGTCGAGGCGTCCGTGATCTCGGGCACCTTGGTCTTGGCAGGCGATGGCCGGGTCTTGCTCGACGGTGCGCTTGACGGCGGCGACATCTCCACAACCCGGCGCCGCTTTTGGTGCGCGACCTTCTTCAATGAGCCATTCACGCGCTCGCATTCTTCTTCATGGAGCACGATCTCGAACGGCTTGACATGCTCGTCAAACACCCGCCAGCAGATCGGGCAGTGCTTGGCGTCCACGAAGTGCTCATCGACAGGCGCCGGCCAGGCCTTGAGAGCGCACTGCGTCACGTGGCGGGCGAGGACGAAGGCCGCGTCTACGCGCGGGAAGAGCGCGTGGCAGTACGGGCACGGGACCGTCTCCATCGCCACCTCCAAAAACACTGGTGGCGTCGTCATCCAATTCCGGTTGATGAATTGCATAAAACCATCCAGGTGACACATACAAACAACAAGATAATAATATAGCACTCGCCACCCCAATGCGATCTTGGCGGCGAAGCGGCGCCATGGCCTATGCCACTGCGAGCAGCGCGCAGGGATGACGTCTGTACACGAGCGACGGAGGCTACATGGTCATAGAGTACCATAGCCAAGGCCATGCGCTGCAACATGGGCGCAGTCGCGGCGACGCCACGTTGGCATCAACCCATGTCCGAGACAGTGGTTGGGTTGCTCGAAGACGACGTTGGGCAGGGCGTGCCGAGCGCGGCTGCGTCACGAGCACCCTTGAGAGGAGGAGCTCGCTTGTCGGTGGCGTCAACCAAGTGCGCCTTTATCCAGAGGCTACAACGACACTGTTCGGGTTCATGACGTTGTGCTCGACGATACGAGATTGACACGCAGCACGCCTCATCGGCGTGTCTCTGTCGAGTCTACCGGTAGCATGTGAGCCTACGTGTCGACGACTACAGTGGCACGGCGGTTGAAAGCATAGAATTAGGTGCTTACGAGCAGGTCATAGGAAGGTAGTGCAATGGATCAGTCGTTGCTCGAGGTATCGCTACTTGAGTCCGACATTGGGTCCTCGTCCTGGTCTAGAGCTCGTGCGCGCTCGTCGGGCTGGCGAGGCGGTGGTGCGCCACTGCCATTCGGTCGTGTCTGGTAGTGGCACGTAGCGGGGATGCTCTGGCCGCGATGCTGCATCGCGTCATGGTGCTTTTGCAGCAGCTTCTTGGCGCGCACGATGTCACAGTCGGTCTCTCGGATGGCCATGAGCAGCCCGAGGTTCGTCTTCATGAGCTTCGAGTTGACCGACCGCGCGTTGCTCAGGACGGCCGTGAGGGACTCGTCGGCCATCGGTGCTCGAAGCGGCGGCAAGTTCGGATACACAAAGCTATCCGGATACGACATGGCGTGTATCTCACCCTAATTCACACGACTGTGGACCATGCGGTGTGTGAAAAATGCCTGCAAATCACGTCACACGATCGTGTGGTGGATGGGCGGACGTTGTCGTCTCGACGACGATCGCGCTATTTTTCAATGGAGATGCAAAGCGCGTGTATAACTATAGCACAAGTCAACGAGGTCCATAAATCTACCAAGTCCTTACTTTGATCCTCCGCTCGACGTAGAAAGAACCGAACCTTTGTCGACGAACGCCACGCTATGGACACACTGTAGGACCGTGTCGCACTTGGGATGTTCCGGATAATCCAGTAGACACGTCCACCATGGTGAGATTTAATAAAACCCGCGGTGAGAAAGACCCAAATAATTCGCCAAGACTCGATAAACCGTTATGATTGGGTATGCTTACATTTCATGGAGCTATTCTAGCCAATCAAATCATCCTGTATCGGCGCCTGGATCCGCTTCCGTTCCAGTTCACTTCTTGCCTGCACGACGCTCCAACTAAATGCCCTTCCTGTACACCACACCTGCATGCGCTTGACTCCACACACGCGACTACGCACCTCCGACCAGGTTGACAAGGCGACGTGATGTGAAAAACGTGAAAAACACCGTGTTGCAGCGGTCGTATCCGGATAATCGCGGCAAGAGTGGAATTTTCCACGCGCATTACTCACCGGTGTCGTGATGTTCGTTTTAAAATCCGGCCTTGCCGAACGTCGGGTCGTTGCATACAAACACCCAGTGTAAATAAAAATTACCCTAAAAAATACGATCCCAGGGCGCAGATGGCGGGGTTCGAATGCGCCATACATTAGGCGGGCGACGTGTATTTCTCATATTTCTTGGTCGCCAGCAGCATGGCCGCGCCGACGCAAGGAGGAGGCCGCCCGCCGTACCAGTACATGGACTCGACGTCGCATGTGCAGGACGACGACATGGCACATGTGCCCGTGTGGCAGGACAGCAGCGCCGAGCACATGTACGGCGACTACGTCAACCCCGGCGGGGTGGCCGTCATGGAGTCGACCGAGCACGCGTCCGTGCGCCCGAGCACGATCCTCGACTCGTCGCGCACGTCGACGGCCGCCGCCATGAAGCCTGACATCAAGGTCGGCGTCAGCGAAGAGGCCAACTCGGAGAAGAAGCACACAGGCCGGAAGCGCGTCTGGCCCGGCTGGCTGCTCCTCTTCCTCGTCTTTGGTGGCGCGGTCTTTGGCATCTTTTGGTTTGGCCGCAAACTCTACTTCAAGGCCCAAGGCCAGCAAACGCTCTCGCAAAAGATCCTCGACCGCACGCCCGCGCCGCCGACGCCCGCCAAAAGTACGTGCGCTCCTTGT